CTACAGGTTTGCATGCCTTTACACGGTATGTTCTCGAGAGTTCCTGAGGTCCTTAGAGTGGCCCCCTTTGAATGGTAAGGGTGCAAAACATCAAGTGGATTTTCAATAATTTTGTTAAAAAGGTTTTGACCCAAATCTCTCCCTCTTTGACCTAAAGTAACAGGCCTGAAAGAGATAGGTCATCTGAGTTGTGCACTTCGTAACCAAAAATTATCCTCAGAGGTTTTTCAAAGGTTAAGTTAAGATATTGTGGAAGACTAAAATGAAAACCCTGGCAGCCATAAAGTAAAACTCACTACATGCAAGCTCAATAGAACTGAACCAGTTCTTTAGGTGGTGCTTTTGCGCGCTTTAGTTGCACTAAAAAATACGATCATTTGGCAGCTCTCATTTGATTTCTGTTACATGAGAATTCCACTTAACTCTTCTTCAATATAAAAGCCTAACAACTTTAACTTCTGTACTGTATTAATCTTTAGTTAGCTTTATGCAACTTGAAGCGCCCAAAGCACCTTTTTACATTCCACTGAAGACCAGTTTTAAATAGGTTTAAAAAGTTCCATTAGACTCGGTTCCTAAAATACCAAGAGAATATCTATGGCAAACAATGATATTTACCGAGAAATCTTGAATTAATGAAGGTAATGCTTGCACTTGACGAGCGTCTGACACATGAAAATGTGCAAAGGTAAAGGCCTTGTTCAAACAAGGGGATAGCTAGGTGTGATAAGGATAATTTCCGCCCTATTTCTATTCTGCCAACTGTGTCTAAAGCTGTAATTGAGCATTTTGTGCATCTTCAGCTTTATGGCCATTCAACTCAAAACAATTTATTGTTTGATAAGCAATTTGGCTTTAGACAACGTCGCTCTACTGCTAACTACTCTTTGTCAGTTTACCGATGATTTATTTAACAGCATGGACCAGGGTATGTTCACAGGAAATCGTTTATTTGGACCTGAAGAAAGCATTGGACCACAAGATATTGGTATGTCTGGAATAGCATTGAGCTGGTTTCAATCGTATCTAGCTTCTCGTTGCCATACGACTTCAGTGGGTAGATCTCTTTCTAACAGTCGACGCATATCTGTGGGTGTGCCTCAAGGGTTCATTTTAGAACCTTATTGTTTTTGATTAACAGCAATAATGTCCACAAGTCCTTACAGTATGCATCTATTGCCTTATTTGCTGATGACGCAGCGCTGTCCTATTCTTCCTAGGCCTCTTGCTTAGAAGAATGATTTGCAGCACAAGCTAAATATTGACCTGTAGAATGTGGCCTGCTGGCTGGAAGAAAACATACTTACTCTTAACACGACCAAGTCCAAGTTTATGCTTATTGTGAATTCGAAGAAGGAGCTGAAAAATATCTGTCATCTTAAGCCTACCGTTAATGACCGTACCTTGGAAAGACAATCTAAGTTAAAGAATTTGGGAATAGTGATTAACGAAAATCTCTTTTGGGCCAATCACATTGATTTTGTGAGCAAGACTGGTTAATCAAAGACTTGAAGTCCTGCCTAGGATTAAGCATCTACTTCCAATCTATGCTCATAATCTATTTCTTAGTGCCATAATATTACCGTTTTTTGATTACTGTGATATTATCTGGGGTGATAGGAATAATAAAGTATTAATGGATTCCCTCCAGGTACTGCACAATAAGGTGGCTAAGATTGTTCTCAGTCGCCCGGTACACTCCTCATCTACTCAGGCGCTTATCGATCTTAGGTGGATCAATCTTCGGGTTTCACGGCGCATTTTTTAATGACTCAATGGCCTTTTGAATCACAATTATCATTTTAATACTGGGTCACTAGTCCACCTGACAATTACCAAACGCGTCATGCCGCAGTGATTTGAGAATTGACAGATCTGGTTGTAGTAAAGGCCAACTACGTTCTTCATATTTTTTATTCAAGGAATGGAACGAGATTCCTCTCAAAATCAGGAACAGTGAAAGTATTCGCAGTTTTAGAAACGCTGTTTTACAACTTTTAGCATAATTTTAGACAGGAACAATGAGACTGTTTGTACTTTTTACTGTGTATTTTACGTATTTAGGGTTTTTGTTGTTTAGTTTAGTCTTAATTTAGTGACAGGTCTCGTCTGAAAACCAACCATGAGTGATGGCGACTTCCCGTATAAAGACTAAATTATTATTATTATTATTATTATTATTATTATTATTATTATTATTATTTGTCTCACACCAAGAAAATTAAGTTTAACGACTCTCACAGAGTTTTCGGTAGCATTCTGCGCTCCCTGGACTGGAATTTATCAACTGGAAAGCTTTTTTTAAGGCACCAAAAAAAAATTAATAGTGAATAAATGAAAAAACAAAATCAAAACAAAAAAAGGAAACGATTTTAACACTTAAAAAATAATTATTTCGTGTGTGAATCCCTGCTCTCGTCTGACTCTTTATTCTAATTTGGGGCCGAAGTCTTGTATGCAGCCTCGCACCCGGCACGTGCACTGTGTGTGAGCTGAAAGTGGACGCAACTATAACTAATAAATCAATCACTCCAGCTAGGAAGGGCGAAACTTCCTTTAACTCCTAGCACCTAACGATATATATACATGTATGTTTGGGAGAGCGTCCATAAACAAGAGGTTTCATTTGCAGAAACTTACTTCATATTAGCAGTCTGTGAAGATTTACGGAACAGGCAGGTGCGTTTGAAGCGGGACGTGATTAAGTTTTTTCCTGTTTTTTTTTTTTATTGAAATTAGACAGGAATTTTTCAGGGCTAGCTCCTTTTCTCTAATATTATTTTGTCTTTGTTTGTTTTGTTTTTTTGATCATGGCACGTCTTATTTTGGTTTTTCTTCCGATGATTTCGATCGCCTCCTTTGTGCTCGGGGAAAGGTTTGCGAGTTGTAAATTTACCCTTGTTTACGTGAGCAAGCTAACGTATCATGTCAAACTTTTCCGAAACGAACATGTGCCTCGTATGTAACTGGGAGATCATAAGATATGGGCTATTCCTTGCAGAAATCAATTCGCTAGTTTAGCAATAAAAGAGAAAGTCGTTAAATAAATAACAGCAGTGAAAACGGTCGACAGAGTAAAATGTTTGTTAAACTTTCGCACTTTACAGTAAGGTTCGAAAAGTGTTGGAATTGAATACAACTGCAAGTGATACAGTCGTTCGGTTTAATTGCTTCAATTCATGTATCAATAAGCGGATTTTGTTTTATTGACGAGCACAGTTCGTGGAACTATTGCCGCTTTCATGGAAAACTTTGGGGACACGATCATTGCGGAATTTTATTGCGGAAAGTTATCAGCCGTATTATCTGCCTGCCCGTGAGGGCAAAGCCCAATCAAGAAATGAGAAGCACATTCTTTCTATGTCAAAAAAAGACAAAATGGCGGGTGGATCTCCCAGAAGGTTTTGTGTGTCCCATTCTCCCTTCAAAGGGGCCGATTATTGCGGGGAGAAGCTGGGCAGAGGACGGGTCATTTCAGGTCGTCTGGCGAACAGATTTGGAAGTCGATTTGGAACGAACACAAAGCTATTGCGTGGAGTTATTGGCCCTATATCCTCACCGAGTGATTATCTAGATACAGCATGCGATGATGATGATGATGATGATGATGATGATGATGCGGGAGCCGCAGAAACAATGCCTTCCCACTGTCCCTACGGGAAAAGCTTCAACTTGTGTCTCTTGCTTGTTACATTTCTCTCTCTGCGTGTGGAAAGTCTTTTCTTACAAGAAAGGAATATGCTCTTTGTAGATCGCCCTATCGAACAGAATAATATTCTTTTGGATGATTAGAAGGGCTTTAAATGCAATACATACCAGGTATAAAACTGAAATTTAATTTGCTTTGCGAGTTTTAAGAAACAGAAAATTACTGTCATACAACAGTATTTAAAACATCAAAAGTTGACCTGTCACATTTATAACAGTAGAAAGACAATAATTTTTGGAATATTCGGTTAGATCAAATGAGTCATGTTGTACTGTAATGCTATATTTTGGGGGGGCACCAGTTAAAAACAATGCCAATCGTTCCCCGCTTCAAAAGGCTAACTAGTCTAATTTTATTCATAAAGGTAGAAGTTATTATACAGCCCCCGCTTCAAAAAGCGAAGTCGGCAGCCCAATGAACTCCCACTATGGGGGTCTTGTTAATTAAAAAAAACAGGGTATTTTTTTATTGATCGACTGAAATGCTGCGAATCGTTCCCCTTGCGGACGTAGACCCCACCTGGTGGTGTGGCCAACCTTTCCTGGGCTGGGTGGGTTATCTGTAAGGAGAGATCTTAATAAAGGGATAACCTCATGGTCCTCCTTCAGCGCCGTGATGGCTACCTGTAAACGGTGTACCTATGTAGGTTGAACTGGAAAGCCGGCCCCAGCCAATATTATGACGTGACTGTTTTTGTATTGAAAACGAATTATAAACTTTGTCCAAAAAAATGCAAAAACTTAAAACAGGCTTAATTTTATTTCACTTAAGTTTCAGTGCTGCTCACCGTGAGGAAAAGGATGAGAAGAGTTCTCGTTGTATTCGTGAAAAGCAGAAGTTGAAGAAATCTCTCTTTGATTTGCTTCATGCCAACAAAGCTGAAGAAAAGCGGCAGATCCTTCTTTGACATTTCGACGAATATTCTGAGATTCGCACTTACATACCGAAATTTGAAAATGTATATTGACATTTGGACATTTTGAGCCTATCTTACAAGCAATTCCCAGATGTGGTCGACGCGCCCAGTTCGCCTATTGACAGTTCAGAATTGAATTCATAGCGACCTGCATGACTTGATAAAATATAAACACACATTTGCGTTTTAAAAAAGTAAAAACTAGCGCGCAGTACAAGAAATTCATTTGTACGTGTGGAGAAGATTTTTACATCGTAGTAGTTCCCGGCAGTAGTGCATATCACATAACCTCAACCACCATCCCTTCCTAGCTCCCCGTAAAAAAAAAAACAGAATCTAATGGTTAGTAGTCTATAGGCGGCGTTTATCACTTTCCTATTGATTCTTGTAAAACGTTTCAAGTGCTTCCTTTTCAGGCCATTTCTTCATTCCGAGTTCCTTACCCATTAGAAAAACTTCCGCAGAAATTATGCGGGCCTCCCGTTCTTTGTCAGGATATTCTTTGTGCAGAAGCAGCGCTAAATAGGTGTTGATCCAAACTTTCCATTTGTGGTTTCCCTCTATGGTGTTATCGGCAACAGACCGTCCCAGCTGAAATATTTCTCGAGATCGGACAAAATCTTTTCTTTTCTGGTAGCAGATTCCAAAGTTTTTATAGATGGGAACTTTCTCTTTCTGTTCCTTTACATCCATGTTTTCCAAAATAGCAAGTGCTTTCTTGTAGTTCTCATCTGCCTTGCCCAGTTCCTCAATATACAAAAAGTAATCAGCCATTTCTTTGTATGAAAACGCCGTTAAAAGATGCTTTCCATAACGCGCAAGACGAAAATTTAAGGCTTCACTATAGTATCTCACAGCGGCTTCGCGCTTTACTCCATCTTTGTGAAGTTTCGCGTTATGTCCCATTTGAGAAAGAATTTTGCCCTTATCAAATGTGAAGTTATGTTCCAAATGTTTCGCAGCCTCCTTTTCACAAATTGAAATTGCCTTTTCAAGGAAAGTTTGTGATTCCTCCCTTTCGTTACGGTCCTGTGAGAGGTATCGGCCATAGTGGCTCAAATAAAAGACTTCAGACAAACCGTCTTCATCAAAACATGGGAGGTTGTCATCGTGCAGTTCGATAGCCTGTTTAATGAGATCTTTTGATTTCTGCGTATCACCTTCACCATGTTTTCTTGATTCATGAAAAAGGAGACACAAAATTTCTACCTCCTTAGTAATTTTCTTTTGGAGTCGAGATAAATGTAGCAGCCCTTCAAGAAAGTCATCATACATCTTAAAAGGGACACAATATTCGATGTATGGTGCTACTTGTTGGCACTGTGCAACCACATCTTCCAGGAGTTCCTTACTTGCCCTACAGCAGCGTATTTTCTGTTGGCCCACAACTCTGAGAGTGGCTTCCAGATTGATCCTTTCTTCGTTGAAAAGATGGAAGGATTCCATACATGTGTCTCTTCCCCAATACTTGTTTGCATTTCTCAAAATCTGCGACAAATAGTGCTCAATAAACCTCTGCTCGCCAAGAGCAAGAATTTGGGGGAATTTGATTTCTCCGATTTGTCTCGCGTAACCTCTAATCAGTAAATGCATGAGAAATCGGTTGCCCTGCTTCTGGATCAAGGAACTTTTCTTTAACTTTGTTAGATAGTTAGCACAGTTAACCTTGCACAGCAACGCCTCAGCAGCATCTTTTGTAAAAAATCGATCAAACACGGACAAACAAACTAACGCATGTTGCAAAGACTCATCTAGTTTTTCGAAAGCTATTTTCATTATTTGGTCAAGCTTAAGAGTCTTTGTTAGGTTTTTCTCAAGTTCTCTAACAAGATCGTCAGGAGAACATTCAGATTCTTCTGGATTAAGGAGAGATCCAGCCAATCGAAGTGCAAGGGGAATGTTATAACAGAGTTCAGCTATCCTGTGTAATTTGGTTTGAATGTCTGGTCCAATCCTATCAGAAGAAAGTTTAGCTCTGTCCTTTAGGACTTCTGTGCTTTCCTTAACATTCTAGGGATATAATTGCATCTTAACAAACTCGATTTCTGAAACTCTTCCGGCAGTTTCAGTGTCCGAAAACCTTGAGGTTATCAGGAACTTAATTTTAAAATTTGAGCGCATCCTCATACCACCCAATAAGTCTAAAAAGCTGTAGTCCTCACGGTCGTCTGTCAGAGCATCTTCTGCGTTATCAATAATGAGGACCAAGTCATGGTCAAGCTGCCTGCACCAGTTGAGCAAAACGTACTTGGGGTACTCGCTGCCTTGTTGATATCCTGGCACACACGCATCCAAAATTTCTCGAAGCACGCCATTGTCTTCATTGCTCACGCCTCTCAAAGAGCAAAATTTCACACTGGCTTCATATTCCCTTTTTAACCGATGCCCAGCTTGCTTGGCAACAGTGGATTTTCCTATTCCAGCCGGTCCACTGACAAGGACTCCAGCCGCTTCAGCTTCCGCTGTTTCTTTTGAGAGGGCTTGAACAATGTCATCAATTTCCTCTTTGCGTCCACGTACATTACGTTCTTGTTTTAGTAACTGACCTCTGCTTGTTTCTACCAGTAGGATAAAGAAAAAAAAAAGGTCCACGTGAAACATTGGATCGTTTCTAAAATATATGTCAACTGGTTTATAAACTACGGTTTTATTTGCATGTCGACGTCTTAAATGTAAGAGTAGGTTCATTTCTGTTCTTGGATAATTAACAATTATTGAATGAGGCTGAGTATGATGTGAAGAATTATTCAGATCGAGGCGAATAAGGGCAGAGCACTTGGATCTTAGATGGTTTCGTTTAAAGAAAGTAGCTCACGAATATTGGAACCTTGCTCAAGACGAAATTGCTTGCTTGAGCCAGACGCTCCATCCTCAAATCGAACATCGACACCAGAGCTTGTCTCTTGCCTATTGTTGGATGCCGTGCCTTAACAAAATAGAACGAAAACAATGTCAGCAACTTAATTATAAGAGGTTAATCAGCGATTGCTATAAATTACTCGCTCCTTTACACAGGTGGAATTTCACCGCGTTAGCATCTTAAGCAAGGCAAAAAAGCTGAAAATCATTGGTTTTCATTAGACTTTATCAACCGGGCAACCCGAAGGTAAAGGGTCATGAGAAGCTATTTGGCGCCTGCGCTTCCAAACCTGGAATACAACCCTGTAGATGGAATCTTTACCAAAAACAGATTATTGACAAAGAGGCACTCGCACAATGTATCATCCTCGTATGTTCTCATCTCTTAGCCATATAGGTTTCTTTACAAAAGTAAATATTTGTCATCTTGCAGTCGCCTATCATCTAATCACTGTCTAGAGGGGATCTTTCAAGGTTCGATTTTGTTGCATGTGTGCTAAGCATTCTACTTTTCTTGGCGAAAGGTCTATTTTGGTAACTGACTACCTGAAAACATATCAACGAGAGAGGTTCAACGAATCCTTACAAAATCTAATCCGCAATGTTTTGCAGAGTAAACAATTCTCCCAACTAATCAGGATACTTTCCTGCCTTCGATCACACGAGTTTGCGGTAAAACCAAAGGGAACTCGTTTATTAACATAGGGCGCTTTAGCAACGTTTGCGGCGAGGGCAGCCTAAACGTTACTATTAAAATGAATTCGCGTGTTTGCTTTTTCAGACTTTTTGGCGTTTATTGCACCTCACATAAAATGGCAAATGAAAGTGAATTTCGCTGGAGTTGATTACTTGTGGACCGCACTAAAGTTTGGAAAGAGAAAGAAACTTGTCGTTATGCCAGTGTTTATGTCCTTCAAACAACGTCGCACAAGGACATTTCATGTCGAGGTACGGTGGACGGCAAAGAAATATTTTTAAAAAGATGCTGCACGTCCAAAATTTATTGTTTCGCTTATTAAACTCCTGATTAAACTTATTTCATTTCTTGACGCTCTCGGTGCCGTCGCCGTAATCGTTGCTAAAGCTCCCCGGATGAATCGATGTGTGTAAACCACTGGGAATCTGAATACGTGTTTTAGTATAAACGCCTACAAATCCGAATACCCTAAATGTAACAAATCCGGCAAAATCTCTTTTAGTGTAAAATTAGCTATAGGGTGCGTTCGATTGACCTTATTCTGGAATAGGAGTACATTGTGGAAAATTCCTGAATCATCTTTATCATTAAAACGAATTTTTTTTGTTTTTAGAATAATGACCCTCAAGTTTGTTTATTTTGTACAACGATGTCTTAGGATTTACGTTACAAATATGGTGTCAACAAACAAGGTTGTTGGATCGGGAATATTGTTGTTTTTTTGTTCTTTTCTTTTTAGCGAAGAAAAGTTAGGGGAAAATAATTTAATCAGGGGGAAAATTGTCTTGTGAAGATATTTTTAATTGTGTTGTTGAGAAAAACGGAATGAATGATCGCGGGTAAACTGTTTGCATTACGGGTTACGCCGAGTGAGAAATTCAAAAGCTTTCTCGCTTTCCTTGTATGAGGAGAAATGCCAAAGAGTTTTTTCTCTGTTCTAGTGGTAGCCTTTTCTGCGGAATGCTTTATTTCCCTCGTTTGAACGTCTTTTATTGTCACCGACGATGTCAGCTTTAGCAACGACGACGGCCACGGCATCGGGAACGTTAAAAAAGCAATAGGTTTGGTCATCAAAACAACTACTCTTCATGTGCAGCACCCCTTTTTTTGAACATTTCTTTGCCGGCACTGCACGACTTTGACGTGAAGTTCCCTCAAGCTACGTTTTATGGATGACGGAAACTTGGATCTGCACTTATCCCATAGTCATGGTGACCGTTGCGGCACCACGGACTAGCAACCCTTTATCTTCATTTGATTCTATTTTCATCTTCTCTTAGGGCGTAGCAACACCTCAAACCTGTACATTCTAAGATGTTATTCTCCCACTGCTTCTTTTGTTCTTTTCTTCCTCTCCCTCCTTGCACTGTTCCTTGTAAAATTTTCTTACAAGCCCTGTTGATCTTGATACTAGCCCAAACCATTTTAACTTGCGTTTCTTCACCGTGGTTAAGATGTCATCTCAGGTCCACTGGCTTGCCTAATTCTGCCTCTGCCTGCATTGTCAGTGATGTGCTTCCTGTATGTAGTTTTCTAAGTGCCATGCAATTTTTTCAGGATCCCCGCTGTCAATGTCCAGGTTTCGCAGGCGTTCAACAGTATATGAGATAACCAGGGAGCGCATAAGTCTGATCTTTGAGCAAGGAGAGCCATGTTTGTCGTTCCAGGTGGGCTTCAGTCTCGCTAGAGCTGATGTTGTCAGTGCAATTCTACACATTTATTCAGGCTTGGAACCTTGATCAGTGACGACTGCGCCCAGATACTTGAAACTTGTCAAATTTTTTACCGTTGATCCTGACGTCAACGCTGATGCTATTTTGTGTTGTTGATCATCAGTCTGGTTTTCTGTGCACTAATTTCAAAGCCAAAGGCTGCAGAGGTCTTATCCAGGCGATCCACCAGGGAGGCTAGTTCCTCCTCTTTTCCTGCCAGGCCATCAATGTCATCAGCAACTTAAGTTTTCAATTGTTCTACCTTAGGTTCTGACTGTTCCTTGGTGATCTTCTAGTGCGTCAGTCATAATTCACTCCAGAAAGATGTTGAAATTTCTCTTCCCTCCTCTAAACTTGGGTGCAGCCCCAGAGAATTCAATTCGAGGGAAATCCATCTACATTTGAGGTTTTAAGCTAGTCGAAATAAAAGCTAGCCTCCCCGCAGACGTCCTTTGGGGTTCGTTCGCCACGCATTCATTTCTCCCCCACGGACGTCTGCTAAACATAGCCGACATTTACGTTCACCAACCAAACGCCGTTTACGGACTTTTGTAAAACGTAACTCGAGCTGCTTGTTACGATTCGCACGATCAGTGAGGCTTTTGGTCGGGTGTGCGAGAAATTTGTAATTCCGTGGGATGCCTGTGGCACTCCCACGGTAAAAATCCGGTTCGGTTGTACCCAATATTGCAAAGCCAGCCAATAGCATTGCGTAAAATCTTTATCGATTATCTCTTCTTCCAACCCGACCAATCAGATTGTACAAAAACTGTATCGATTTTAAATCGATTTGCTTGCTCTGAAGAACGTTGAAATCAGAACGTTCCTTGCCAAATTTGTCGCGCTGGAGTTTTCCCACTCGTGGTTTAGGATGGCTTGTTAACCAGCGAAATCCTTCGGGATACTGGCAAGTCACGAAAGGCCACCTAAGCCAAATTATTTCTTTCCTTCATGATTCTTTTTTGTTTAGGTCTAGCTTTTTCATAAGGTTTTAGTAGCGTCTGGTTGCGGGCCATGATTTCCGATAGATTTTCCTATTCGGAGTTCGCCAGTTTTTGCCGAGCACAGCTAGAGTTCAGTTTTTTTTCTTTTCTTATCGAAAACATCTTGACGATGGGAGGTTAAATCGCGTAAATTTCAACTCGTACCCTTAACGATTGGCGTTGAAATCGCGAAAATATTGTCCTCGTCGATCGACGACTCGCTTTCGGCATGGATTGGACTTTTGGATGGGACACGGATCAGGAGATGAGTAAACTTATTATACCTTGGAATCAGGGATAATCATTGGAACTATGTTAACTTTGAGACCTTGGAAACACATTGCAATTAATTTTTAACCGTATCAAGAGCATCTTGGAATATTAAACTTTCACCTTGGATTAAAACTCTGGAACTTTATCGAACGTTAACTTTGTAACCCTGGGTTCGACCCTGGATAAGCACGCGGATGTTTTGTTTTGTTTTGTTCCATTAACCTAGATAGAACGCCATTATGCTTCCATAGA